ATCGGAAGATGAGATTCTCTTCAGATTACAAGCTTCATTGAACCGGAGAAATTGAATATATCCTTGTAAGAAATCTAAATAATCACGTATGTACGCGTATAGAGTACGAAGGAATTTACCCGGACTTGAAGGCGGCGCATGAAACTCGAAGAGGAGAATGAGAAGCCACCGTCACGGTCGACGTCGGCATCATCTGCTTCATCGTCGCGACGACAGTACTCGGCCTGTTCAAAGCCATAACCGACGACATCTCTCTCTCTCTCTCTCTCTCTCTCTCTCTCTCTCTCTCTCTCTCTCTCTCCCTGATCGATGGCTTGGACTTAGTGATCATATTTATACACTCAAGACCTGTTTTGATTCTTGAAATATAATCATTTACAACTATATTTTGAACATTTTTATGCGTGTTGATTTGTAAAACCCCATGTTCTTTAAAAAATAAGTGTTTTTTTAGTTTCGAATAAAATTGGAATGAAAACAACTTGGCTACCTGGTTCTAGAAATTTCGGATTTTATGAATTTTAAATGTCTCTACCAGCTAAATGCTGAATATTAGATCGAATTTACAGCCTCTGTTTGCATTTTCAAAAATAATAATATGATATAAAGATCCAGCTAAATATATTATGTGTTATGGAAAAGTACGGTATATATACATATAGGCCATTATATAAAAAATATCCTTACTTTGCTATTTTTATTTCGAGACATACTTTTCTCAAACTATGACTATATGATCTATATGAACAGAAATTTAATCTTGATCACATTGAAATTTATAATTTTTTTTATTAAATGATTAGGGATATATATAAAATATAAACATAATGAATGTGGTCATCATAAATTTAATGTTATGGTCAAAATGATCAAGATTAAATTTTTGGTCACAGATCACAGTTAGAGAAAGATATGAGTTGAAGTCAAAATAAAAAAAGTAAAATTTATAATACCGGTAGGCACTATAATTTTTTTTTTTTTTGTTGGTAAGAAAGAAAGATAGGTCCCATTAAGATATAATTAAAATGGGGAAATTAATAATGGAAGTAGTTGGCGTTGCGTTTGCGCAAGCTGAGAAGAGAATTGTCAAGTTTGTAACCGACGACGGCCGCTGCCGGTTTCTGCAAGGTTGATTTTTCTTTTTCTTTTTTGGTGGTATGGAATTCCGTGAATGAGACTTGTCATAAACCAAAGTTTTGTAACCGTAAATTTGTATTTTTTTTTTAAAGAAAAAGAAAAAATAGTTTTGTAACATAAAAATAAATAAATAAAATATCTCATTTTCCACCCCTTTTTTCTATCATATTTCTCTGTTTCAAATTTCATTTATATTTCATTTAGATTATGTTTTTTTTTTGTTAAAATTGATTTAGATTATGTTCTTTTTATTCATATATTTTCAGTGTATGTCTCATTCTTGCCTTTTTTTTTTCCCCTTCGAATTGTATTCGGAAAACCATAAATGTTAACGCCTGATTCGAGCAGACAATTAATAAATGATAATAAATTAATAATGATCCCATAAAACAAAACGCTCTGCAGATCACGTGCTTCCTCACGTGGTATTCCAGGCGAGTTTTGCGTAATATTACTACCACCGAAGCCATGTGACTCAGATGCCCTAAAAGCCAAAATCTTGCACGGAACCAAATCGAATTTGTATCACATATTGTATATATAAAATTAAAAAACAAAAAACCTTAAGAATATACAAATTTCTACAAAAAGAATACCCATCAACTTCCGATTTTCTTAATGATAACACAAAAACGTTCATATTGTCGAATTCCGAATAATGAAAGACCATTAGGGTGTTGACCCTAAATCCCGAAACGCGTCGTTTCAGCCAAGTGGGCTGACTTCCTTTTCTCTGCGAAATGGGCCGCTGGGCCGAGAGGGCCCAACATATATAAATACTTTTAGTCTTTTATATTATCAAATCCAAAACGGAACACCCATTAGATCGTGTCCAGGAGTGGTGGGCACGGATCGGGCATCCGAAAATTTGAGAGTATCCGAATCCGAACCCGAACGTCTCGGGTTACATGTTTTATTACCCGATTTCGTATCTGTAAAATCGGATACCCGAACTCAAAAACCGTGAGATAATTTTCGGGTACCCGAGAGTACCGAATTCGAATATTTATAATTTTTTTTAATTATTATTTTTAAATATATTTATATATACATACTCAAAATCATTCAAAATAAATTTAAATTGTATTTATATCTAAAATAAATTTATTTTTGAAAAATAAATCATAAATATATCCCAATAATATCTATATAATCATTAATATTAAATAAAATAACACAAAATCTAATTAAAAATCTAAAATTTAAAATATATATATTTTTATTATCCGGATACCCGAAGGTACCCGTGAGATAATAATCATTACCGGAATCCAAACCTGAAAATTCGAGTATTCTAATATCAATACCCGACCTCATGTCTCGTTCGTTCGGATACCCGAATTTTCGGGTACCCGATCTTCGAGTCGGGTCGGGTACTCAAAATCCGGGTATTTTTGCTTACCCCTAATGTCAAGTGGTGTAGTGGATACTCGATGATCACTTTAAAAATCTGAGATTAAGTGGATTGAAAACCCAATTAATGAACCTCGTGATTATAAAAAAAATCCAAAACGGAAGTAATTGTTCCGCAACGGCTTACTATACAGATTGTTTGATCGTCACTTCAACGGCCATATATATATATATATATGTATATATATAAGGATATGAGAGGGGAAATAAAGAGCATTGAACATGTAAACCAAGTGGATGGTATATGCGACGCCACATATATATATTATACCATAAATATTGAATATGAAGATTCACGTTGAATTGAATAATTGCAATAAATGTCGTCTTATCTCTAGTGAATATCGATGTTGAAATTTTTATTATATTGAATGCTAAATTATGCCATCATCACGGAGAATTTACATCTCTTTTCAAGTTTTACTCCTTAAAATATATTTCTACAAAATTATGGATTCTTACATATGATAATATTGTAGAACATTATTATTGATTAACCACTTATACCCCTCCGCTTTTATTCTGCATACATGAAAATGTTGGAATGACAAGGTGTATTATTATAATATATTATTATTTAATTAATTATACCAAAGAAATGATAGGGGATGACGTTGGCCGATCCTTCGCCATAGATTTCTCTACCCATCAATTAATTCACACATTCAGACAAGAGGTAAATACAGTTAACCAACCCCTCACCATCTCATTAAATCCATCTCTGTAAGGAAAAAAAATTTACATGTGTGGTCCAATCCGGATTCATATATACCATATCTCATGTATAGTTATTTTACTTATATATATATATATATAAATTGAAGTAAATATACCTTTGAAAATATGAAAGTTATGTATATATAAAAGTATTGCTGTGTAGATAAACTCTTTTACATAAATATATCTATAAAATATGTTTCATTTTTTTATTTAATTAGTATGTATACGTTTATTTAATATTAGAAAATCAACCGATGCTAATGACGAATCACATTCACATGCCATTTGACAACCCTTTCGGACTGTTACAACAATGTGTCATTACATTATCGACGGACGAGAAATGGGATTTTTGTTACGAACAAGAACACACAAGCTCGAATTATTACAAGGCGACAAATACACTAACCAATCAAGAGGAGGGGCCTTTCGAAAATGATATATAAAATGCATCTGGCTGTGTCATGAACTATATACATTTCTTTTTTTTTTTTGTTTCTAAAAAATAATATATTTATTCAAAACCTAAATGTGCGTGGAAACTCGTATCCGCACAAATAATTGAACGTGCGCATAAAAGTGTGCAGGCCATTAAATTTTTTTTATTTACTTATTCATATCCATATTACTTATTTTTTTTTAATATAAATAAACAATCTTACATGTACATAATACATGGTTCTCTCGTGGGAAAATTTCAAAAACGCGAAAAGGAAGAAGAGTCCAGATCGGAAATGGAGGACGCGCTTCTGCAGAAGACCTCGCCGGATAAATCATCCACCGTCTCCGTCGCTGTTTCCGTCGCCGGAGCTTCCGAAGATGTAGGCGGAGACGGATGGAGGAGGTGCGTGTTGAGCCGGAGGGAGTTCACGGCGGAGATGAAGAAGATGATGGAGATCGCGGCCCCTATGGTGGCGGTGACGGTGTCACAGTACCTGATGCAGGTCGTTTCCATGTCAATGGTCGGTCATCTCGGCGAGCTCGCCCTCTCTGGAGTCTCTGTCGCCACTTCTTTGGCCAGCGTCACTGGCTTCAGTGTCTTGGTAAATCGAATCTCTCTCTATTTTGTTCGTTTAGGGTCTGAATTTTTACATTAAAAAACCTAAATCCAGTAGGAAGCGTTGCTTGAGTTAGTTGGACTCGTCATATGCCGTGCATATTTCCGGTTTTGATTCGGATTTGATTCCGGTTTTCTGGTTTTTGAAACATTTGGTGTTTGATTAATATATCAAATTTCAGGTGATATGCTATTCGGTTTCGGTTTTGCGTATACGAACAGAAATGGCTATCCTTCCACTGATTAAATCTCCTTTTGTTTTGTTATGTTACACTCATCTTTTTCCTTATCTGGTATGGGTTTTAGAATTACAAAGATCTCAACTTTGGTAACTTTCATAGAAGATTATGCAAATAAGACAATGAAAAAGGTTCCAACTTTGGTCGGGATGAAGATGTTTGATGATTTGATTATGTATTATATCTCATGGGATCGAGTTTTCGTGTTTCTGTTCGTTGTTGAAGTTCGGGATGGCAGGTGCGCTTGAAACCTTATGCGGCCAAGCATTTGGAGCAGAGCAATACCAGAAGCTCGGAACCTACACTTACTCCTCCGTGATCACGCTTCTTTTACTCTGCATCCCAATCTCCATTCTTTGGCTCTTCATGGACAAGCTTCTGATCCTATTCGGACAAGACCCTGGAATCTCAGCCGTTGCTTACCAGTACATAATCTATCTAATCCCAGCTCTCTTCGGTTTCGGGATTCTTGAATCTCTCATTCGATATTTCCAGTCTCAGAGCCTGATCTCTCCCATGTTGTGGGCAACTTTGTCAGCTCTCTTTCTCCACGTTTGTCTCTGTTGGGTCTTGGTTCATAAGCTCGGAGCTGGAGTTGTGGGAGCTGCTGTTTCTCTGGGAGTTGCTTACTGGGTTAACGCGATCTTGCTCTGGATCTACAAGGACTGGTCTTCCACTTGTGAGAAGTCGAGGGCTTTTGACTTGTCGGATGTTTTGTCCAAGATCAAGGAGTTCTTCTGCTTCGCTCTTCCTTCCGCAATGATGATGTGGTAAAACCCTTTTCCACCCTCCTCATCTCTTTGCTTTTTATGAATTAATAATCATGTAATTATAATATATGCTATGTAAATCTTATCCTAGATTTTTCATTTTGACGATGAAACAGCTTGGAACTGTGGTCATTCGAGTTCATGATTTTGCTTTCTGGACTTCTTCCCAACTCTCAACTCGAGACTTCGGTTCTCTCCATCTGGTAATTGCTCTGCTCTTTTCCCAAACCAATGCACGTGGATTCTTCTTCGGATCTTGAAATAATGAGTTTCTATTACATGTAACATGTTCTCCTGCACAGCCTCACGACAACTACGCTTCATTACTACTTCATCTACGGTGTTGGTGCAGCCGCAAGGTAATCCAACTTGTTTTGGCCCTCAAAGTTCGATACTTTCAAAGTCCCTTTTCATCTCGAGTTTGAACTACTCGCGATCTTTTTCTCTTGCCACAAACCAAAGAAGGTAAAAAAAAAAGGAGAAAAAGAAGGTTGAAACATAACTATGTGAAATTTGCAGTGTCCGGGTTTCAAACGAATTGGGGGCAGGGAATCCACGGGACGCCAGAGTGGCGGTGACCGCAGCTGTTGCAGTTGCGGGAGCAGAGGCCATTTTGATCGGCATCACTCTCATATGTTTCCGTAGGATCTGGGGATACGTTTACAGCAATGAAAAGGAAGTTGTAGAGCTCTGCACATGGATGACTCCATTGTTGTGCCTTTCTGTCATATTCGACAGCATGGTCGCCATCTTCTCCGGTCAGTTTCTTCATCACTCATCCTCTGTTTTCGCTTGGAACGAACTAAACAAGAAGAACCTAGACTTACACAAAAACGAAAAGATCCAAACTTTGAGCCATGGAAACAAAAAAAGATCGAACCTTTTTGTTTTAACCTTGGCATGTTCGGGTGTATTAGGGGTGGCTCGAGGGACGGGATGGCAGCATCTAGGAGCGGTGGTGAACATAGGAGCGTATTACCTTGTAGGGATCCCTATAGGAGCCGTCCTGTGTTTCGTGATGGAATGGGAAGGAAGAGGATTGTGGGTCGGAGTATTATCAGGCTCTGCTCTCCAAGCCTTTCTTCTTGGTCTCATCACATCTCTCACCAATTGGCACAAACAGGTAGATTGCAATACACACACAGACTTCTGTCTTGTCGGCTTCATTTGTGTATACATGCATGTTTCTTGTGATGAAATTGATTAACATTTGATCCTTTTTTTTTAATGCAGGCGATGAAGGCGAGAGAGAGGTTGCTGGACAGCAGAGACGGCCATGGATTGCTCGCTTGAGTAAAACTAGGCGAGGAGATTCAGTAATACCGATTTTGGAAACAAGACAGTATCTTGACTGTCCATTAGAGGAGCTTAAGCATGGTGGTTATTAAAAGGGAAAGTGAACCGGCAAAGCAGGAGCCAAATAAGTAAATACTTGGATTTACGCCCATATGAATAAAACCTCTCTCGACCATTTCGTATTTATATCTCGTGTTTCTTTTTGGTTGTCTTACGGATTTTTGTTGTATCCAATATCTCACATTTAAAAGAAAAATTAAATTTCTTTCACGATAAAAGGGCCCATAAATAATTATCTCTAAACCAAATTACCATAACGTTTTTTTTTTAAATTGTTACGTGTCGTTGTTTCCGTTGACTTTTCTCACTCCTAGACGCGACGCACCTGGACGGTACACGTAATATGAGATTTTGTAATCTGAGCCGTACACGTGTTCCGAATCCCGATATTATTATGCCCATTAAAATAAAAACCCGTGATTAATGAGGTCCGCTCTATCTGCCGTCGCGGTGTTGCACTGAATCTCCACCACCTTCACTCCAAAACCCTAAACCTCTCCGGCGAGTGGGGTTCGTTGAAAAGAATAACAATGAAGGCGGAGAGATCTTCGTTGTGCAACTTTGTTTTCAACTTCCTCTTGGAAGAGAACTACCTCTTGACGGCGTTTGAGCTCCTAGATGATGGCCGCGGCGCTCAGGCCATTCGCCTTAAAGAGTTCTTCTCCGATCCCCTCCCGATCAGATATCTCGGTATAATTCATTTCGAGGTTCGCTACTTCTTCGCCTTCATTGTGTTTGTCGAATTGTATGTATCGGTGGATGATTGCGTCTTAGTGTATATGGCATGGCGTTGTTATTCTCTTTCAGGGCTGCTTACATTTACATATGTCCGCTCTGCTTCTGGCTTTGTCGGAATCATTCTCGTCGGTGAATTCGTGAATTTGAACATTGCTTAGTTAAGTCGAGGCGACGGATTTTTATTGTAATCAAAGTTTGACTATGATCTTGGATTGGTGAAGGGTGATGTGATGTGTAATCTGCAGGTGTAAGCCCCTTTTTTTTTGTTTTTGATAGTGAAAAAGTGCTGTGTTTTGCTTAATTGTGCAGATCTAAGTTGGAGAAATTTTAGCATTTCTGAAACTTATGGTGGAGAATCTTGTTTTTCTGCATGGCTTTTGTAGGTTTTCTTTATTGCCTAATCTTGAAAACAAACTGACCGGAAAATACTTCTGCTCCTGTGGGAATGCATATTCATACTAGCACGACACCGGAAAGTTTTGGTTCTTCAACTCAGAATGCTCGAGAATATCGGTCTATGACTCAAAATAAGGACAGTTCATGGGGATGCATTGATAGATTCCATCAAGAACGGTACTTTTGATATAAAACATTTGTTGGGTTAGGACCAAGAGCATGCGTGGTTTGGTGGTTCCCCAAGCAAGCAAGAAGGTGTAGCAAATTTCTTATGACGGCTATTAGTTGAAAGCAAAATAAATGAAGTAGTTTACCTTTGGTCCAGGACCCTATAAATCCTTTTTTACAGCATGTTTCATAGAGCTTGTTCTTTTCATCGGTGAACTATTGATTTTGCAGTGCATTCGAAGAACAACATGGCATGAAATTCAACATTTTGTTGGAAGGAAATGGTGGTTAGCCCTGATGCAGAATCCAAAATCAATGCGGCAAAGTTGTTGAAGACTATTGTAAGCTTCACGATGACACGCTTTTTCATTTTTTTTTTAATCTCTGCTTGCCTGTGGTAGTTTAACTAGACTCGTTCCAGTAGCTTTCTTGTGCATGCTCTGAGTAATTTTGTTCAGAATAAGGCGCCATGTATCGACTAGAAAGTTGCTACGACACTCTTGGCTCGGACCAGAACCTGAATGTGAAGTATGCAAGCATCGATGCATTTGGAGTCGTTGCTCATCACATCATGGTTATTACCTTTTTATTTTCCTCTGCCCGAATCTTATCCGGAGTTCGTGGTGGATTTATATGGATCCCTTTTTAAAGCTGATCGATCATTCTGATGGTTGATGCAGATTAGTTGATAAAACAAGGGTCCGGATGGATGCTTTTCTCGAAGATGGGTTCTCTTGAAGCAGACTATCGCTGTGGTTCGTTCACTATTGGTTGCTATTCGGCGTACAACTGAACAGCTTAGAGATTATATCCTGAAACCCCGTCTTCTATAATTTCTTTTCTAAGTCATTTACGAAATCATTCACATCATATTCGAATCTCTTCCTTTAACTTTGTTGTGACACATCTTTCGTCCAGCCCCCCATCTCTTTGGAGATGTCAGTAAGCAGAGTGGTGATGGATTGCCTTCCAGAGTTTCCTGGGAGGAGGTGCCTTGTTGGCCAAGAAAGACAAAGATACGGCCGAAGCAGTGACCACCATGGGCCTCAGGCGCAGGTTCAGGCGCGTATTCATGAGGGGTTAGTTGTCTGAGATTCTCCGTGCCAGAGTCAAATAACCCCTGATGATCAGGTGATATACCAAAATTACCCATCTGCTGTTTCTTTTTATGCTCCAAAATTAATGATTCGTTTCTTCTTTCCAAATGAGTTTCTGGGGATACTTCACAAAGGGTGTGTTTTACTTCCCCAAATTGGGTTTATAGTTGGAGCCTTTTGTTTTGAAAAAAAAAATTATTGGAGTTTTATTGTCTATTAAAGTAAATATGTAAAATTAAAATGCCCGACCATGTTATTCATTCCAAAACTAAACCCTTTGGGTCTGGACAAGGGTTAACACTCCCAACGTTGCTTTGGCCTCTTTGTTGTCCCCAAAGGACACTCGGACATCGTTGTCCATATTCTAATAGTAATAGTAGTTATAATAATAATAATAATCAAAATCAATGAAAAAGGTGGGGGAATAGTTTACTTGGCACGTTCTATCCAGAGCAGGAAATTTCTAAATTCTTTCTAACGCTCCATTTGATATCGAACTTTTGGTGTTGGAACTGATAAAATCTATTATGACCAAACTGAATTATTGTAACAAAACCCAATTCAATTAAACTGTATCATAATTTGATTGGAAGAGAAACAAAATTCACGGATATAAGTAGACCTTCAAGAGAGGATGATGAATTATGTTTAGTCATTCTACCAATTATATATAAAACCTAACTTAAAACTCTACTATCCTTTAAGATCCACAATAAGAATATTTTTGGAACCACAATCATATCAATTAGTGTATGGGTTTGCAAGTTGGTATCAAAGCGACCCAAATATCCTCTTCCTCTCACTCTCCACATATTAAATCAAATAAATGTTTAATGATTGCATTGCACTATATGACCCTTATACAAAGACTTTGTAATATAAATATAACATCACCAACCACGAAAACAGCATCATTTCATTTTACTCCAAGAAGAACCATACCCCCCCCCCCCCAAAAAAAAGCAAACATGGCTCTGCTCACTCCATCTTTGTCAAAAAGCTTCTCCTCTCTTCAAGAAATGCCCAACAAAACTTCAAGAACCTTCCACCTCAACCCAAAGATTCTCATGTCCCTCACCGATTCTGCAATCGCCAAACCCACGAGCTTTGTCGCGGAACCAACCGAGAAGAAAACCGGATTCGGTTTCAAGAACTTCACCGGAACTTTCTTCATGAACGTCAAGCGAGCAGAGGGCCGGTTAATGGAAACCGTTAATCTCCGCGTACCGGCCATAACCGGGGGCACTGAAGTGGACCAGATCGAGAACGTGGCCATAAGGGTGGAGCTGAGAAATGGGTTCGTCGGATGGGGTGAAGCGCTGGTGGTTCCGACGGTGGGTCGAGCGGCGGCGGTGGAGAAAGTGACGGCGGCTTGCGAGTTTCTCCGGCGGTGTCCGGCGATGACTCTCGACTCTGTTCTTGATGAGATCGAGAATCTTCTTCCTGGACACGAGTTTTCTTCTGTGAGTAATTAGTACAATAAGACTAGTAATAATTTCTGACTTAATTTTTTTACATAACATTGTTTACAACTTAATTTGGAATCATTATTGATTGGATTTTTCTTTATAAGATGCGGCTAACATTAAGGGTGAAAATGAGTTTTATTTAATAATTATTCATTTCATTTTATACTGTTTTTTAGACCATTAAACAAACCTCTACATACATACATACAATAATGTGTGTGTGATGTGATGGAAAAAGGTGAGGAGTGGAGTAGAAATGGCTTTGATAGACGCGGCGGCAAACAGCATCAACGTCCCTCTCTGGAGACTCTTTGGCGGATGTTCTAATTCCCTCTCCACCTCCATCACGGTTACCTTCCCTATCCCTCTTTTGTATTGTAATCATTATTATCCATATATATATATATATGCCTATACTATTCCTTTGAATGATCTCCTATATATACATATATATGTATATATATGTATCTCCGACCAGATCCCAATCCGTTCTCCGGAAGAAACATTCCGGGTGGTGTCCAAGTACTCTTCGAAAGGGTTCAAGGCTTTCAGACTGAACATCGGAAAGGATTTGGATTCGGAGATGGAAGCGTTCCGAGCTGTGAGATCGGCCAATCGCAAATGTACGGTCATCCTGGATGCCAACGAAGCCTATTCTCCGCCACAAGCTCTGCAACTTCTCGACAGACTGCAAGGTTTCACTCCCTACGTTTTGTTATACCCTCCCTTTTATCCATAAATATAGGTATCAATCATGCTAAACAAGTTTATTACATCATAGTAAACGTGATACCATGGGATTCGATCCACTGTAGAAAACACTGGACCTGTAACTTAGAGCCCAAGAAACCTATTGTTTCTCCCCCGAACCAAAATCTTGAAATAGTGAATGTTATAAAATCAGGAAAAGGGGGTGATCCTCCAGTGGTGTTGGAGCAGCCAGTGAAAGGGAAAGACATGGAAGGGCTGAGACAAGTACACGAAAGGGCAAGGGAGATGAAGGGAGCAGTAGTGATAGGGGTTGACGAGGGCTGTAAGAACATAACAGAAGCTCATAGGATTATAAGGGAAAGAGTGGCCGATGTTATCAACCTTAAGCTCTCCAAATTCGGCGTTATCGGTTCATTGGAACTCATCGAAGCCGCCAAGATTGCCGGATTTGAACTTATGATCGAGGGTTCCCTCGAAACCAGACTGGCCACCGGCTTTGCCGGTCATCTTGCTGCTGGTCTCGGCTGCTTCAAGTGACCCCTCTCTCTCTCTCTCTCTCTCATCTATATAATATATTGTATATATCATTCTTATAATATGCTTAAAAATCTTTTCTCTACGTAAAATCCTGAGTTAAAATACATTAATTATATTTTTTAGCTACAATGGCATCATTGTACATAAAAATACATATATTAATATGCATTATGTACAGGTACGTAGCTTTGGACGGTCCATTCATGCAATTGGAAGATCCCATAATCGGAGGATACGAAGGTACATACATACATATATATATATATATATACACACACACACAAAAATTCCAAAGCTGAAATTGGAAGTTTTCTTACATTAATTAATGGTAAAATGTTTTGTATTTTTTTTTATTTAAATTTTTGAAGTCGGAGGTTCTGTCTACAAGTTCACAAACAGCAGAGGCCAAGGCGGTTTCCTCAAATGGCATGTCGATGTTTCCCCTTGGTACAAAATTATAACATTGCAATTATTATTATTTATTATTATTTTCCTCAAATCAAAAGCTTACGAACCGTAATTTTTTAATAATATACTTTTGTTTAATTTGACAGATTCCTAGTTTACGGATCCAAGGCAGGTTCACATGTTGTAACTTAACGATTATTGCGGAATAGTAATAATAACAACAATAATTTATTTTCCGTATTCTTGCATGTATGTAAATATTATATATATGATAGTGTCATCAGTCGGCCCAATACAGTGATCATCCACCTGGAAATGCCAAGAGTTATTATTCCAGAATCCAAAGTTCGCTACTTTCCAATCTGATTTTTTTTTTCCTTTTTCTACCGACAAACAACTGACGAAATTTGAAAAAGAAAATAAATGTCGAATTTATATAAATTGAAATTCGATTATATAATGGTTAAAAATAGATTTATTATTGTATCTTATCTGAGTCTCGTAACTAATTTATTTAATAATCTTCTGTTGCTTAAAATAACTATTACGCTGGTGTTGTGGAAAATAAAAAGCTGCCTTGTCCGGAATATAGATCTCCCAACCCAAGATCGAGCGGAATCTGGGGTTTTGGAACCGTGACCTTCACGCGCCGTATGTGCGCGTGGTGATATCAGTATTATATTTATTTATGTGATATTGATAATGGGCCTAAATTGGGCCATTTATGGGACATTAAATTGGGTTTTGGAGCTGTAACTCGTTGAATTTAATTTTATTAGAAAACAAAATCACAACTCGAATAAAAACAAGACTGTTACATGAAACGAAACTAACAATTTAGGGTTAATTATTCAGTGTGTGTGTGTGTATATATATATTTTAAAAAAAGTTGCTCGAAACTAATAAATAATATTAAAATCATTTGTTAGCAAGAGAAACTCATATATATTAATATACCAAGATTTTTTTTATTATTATTATAAAAAATGGGGATATTAAGGATCAAAGCCAAGAACCACAGGCCCAACTCTAAGCAAAGGCTCTAATGCCTGAGGCGTGAATTTCCTTGCAAACATAAAACAGTTAGAAGTTGTTATCTTCTCACCATCTCGACGATGATGATAGACACATTCTTCACCGAAACGGATCCGGTTAAGGAACTCGTCAGTCACATCGCCCCACGTGAACCGGCCCGGATGTGGACCGGTTCTTGACCAATCGACCCATGTCACGGTCCGGTTGGAGCTCATCTCCCCATACAACATGTGAACCAATGTCGGGATATAATGCTCGTCCATATAACACGGCGGATGGCAGTGGTTCGCAAAGATGGGGTAATAGGTCGTGTCCGTGATGATATGGAGGGCGAGTTCGCGTGTCGTCTCGAACCATTGAGACCCTTTTCGCCAGTCGGAAATGTTAATCTGCGGGGACATTTGGTGGTTATATCGACCTCGACCCGATTTTCGTGGATCGTCGAAGGAGCCGATGAAGCTAAGGTCAGTGTCCATGAGGTAGTTGTAGACTGTGGTGAAGTTGAAGAGTGGGATGCAGGAATCGGACAGGAGAACGAATCTTTGGTTCGTTTTGTCTAGAAGAGCATTAGCAAGGAGTCTTCTCTCGGCATCCACCATTGATGAAGTTCCCCAATACACTGGCTGCAGCAAAACAAATAATATTAACAAATAACATCGAGAAGATGACATATTTTTTTAAGATTAATTATTGTTCCATATATTATATAGGTACCTGGCTTGGGATTCTTCTTCCATAGAAGACAGAAGTTGGAGGGTAAGAGTCATTGAAGGAAGGATGGGAATGAACATATATGGAGTAAAACCCTTGGTGACCTTGCAAGAACTTCTCCCACAAGGGAGCCAATGGGAGGCCGCCACCTGTCAGGAACATGAACGCCACCTTCGGCCTCTTCATCATCACCGTGACGGGTTCGGGCAGTAGCGACGAGGCCTTCTTGGACAGTTCTTGATCAGTCATGTTGTGAATAACGGTCAAGTGACTGAACTCTTCATCCTCTGACGATATCGCTTTTGTCTCGTCGTTGTCGGGCGGAAACGACGATGGCGGTAAGGGTTGTGATGGATGGAAGGCTTTTAGCTGCAGACAGAGAATGAGACCAACTGAGAAACCAATCACAAAGAAAAGTGCGTTTAACACATAACTGCTCTTTCGCGGCATCAGGGGCTTCTGCATTGGTACAGCCTCGAGTTCTTGTTCTTTGTTCTTCCCCATTGGGGGGAGAGAGAGAGAGAGAGAGTAAAGCTTTGGAACCACAATATTAATGTTATGTACAGTTATTAGAAGGCGTTTTGTTTATTAAGTTACGACTAAGGGGAAGTCAAAGCAGATATTGCAAGCGAAACCCATTGGTAGCTTTCCTAGGTTGCACGTGATGGACGAGTTGACTTTATATTTAAAGACTTGGTAAGGTTGGACCAAAAAGTCATTGTCAATTCAAATTCGAATATCATATATTTATATGAAATTTTTCAGTATTGTGAAATATGTAGTTGGATGGAAAATTTACCAGATTATTATAAAAAAAAAAACTATTAGAATTACATTCAAATCATTATGATTTTAAATAATTTGTAATTCTCATTAACCGATGTTAAATCCGAGTACAAAAGTTTGCCATTTATTCACGTCAACTTATTTTTTTTATTTTTTTTTCAAAATATAAATGGAGTGGTGAAATAATCAACGGTTTTTTCACAAGTCAAATGGAACTCAGAAATACATATATAAAAAAAATAAAAATAAAGTGTACGTCAAATGTTGGGTGCGGACCAAAGAACACAACATTTCGTGCCTAATTTTAGGGTTCATTTAATGTGGCTGCTGCAGAAGGTTGGTCTCTTTTTTTTTTTTTCCTTTGTTGGTCCAATATTATTTATTTTGGTCCGAAGACTATTCTTACGGGATTTATTATGGGAATTACGATTGCTTAAACTCGACGTCTTTTTTAATTAGCGTATCCAAGTGGATGGATTAAGAACTTCTAAACGCGTAATTACTTTGCTTAGCCGCTACTAAACTATAATAGACACGCGAGACTTTTTTTAAATAGATTATTCACAAAACTTATTTAGTCACCACTATTTTATTAAATTTAAAGAAATTTTCCAAAAATTAATAAAATGAACTTAATTGTAGAATGAATTGCAAGTTATAACATAATAAAAGCTTATGTGGGCTAATGCTGACTGGCCCATGCTCCATGAGCCCACCAAAGCCCATTTATTCCCTCTCTCTCTCTCTCTCCCATTCGGCTCTGCAACACAATTCAGTTCATCGCTCTATCTCAAAACCTCCAGAGGTTTGGTCATCCTCAAGCTTCGAAACCCTCCTCAAAAGGTCGTTCATCTGTCTTCTGTTTTCTTCTAAGATGATCAAACGTTTATAAGAGATAACAATGTTAATTCTGTACTCTCCTTTCCTTTTTATAGTTATACCAATATCTCGCTGTATCTCTTCCGTTTCCTTTGCTGGGTTTTCAAGAATTTCTTCGATTCTAGTTAGGTCTCCACTCTTCTTTACTTTCCGTTTATTGGGTTCCTGAATATCCATAGTTTACGCGACATTTGATACTTAAATTCTTATGACATTGATAGGTTACTCTAATTGTGAGAATGTTTTCGTTGTGTCAACATACAAGATTTTCTCTGTCGCTTAATGGGTCTTGCTCGTTTTGCTTAACCACTAAAGCTTCGGCTTAATGGTTCTTTTTGCTGTCCCCAGCAAACAGCGTTCACAAAAAGATTTTCACTTTGGGTGCTTGGTGATTTGATTGCGTAAAAGTGCGGTGGATGATCATTGATTGATTCTTGTTGTGGTAACACAGTTCGATGTTCTGCTTAACGTATGCTCCAAGCGCTTGCCTTCTGTACCCGAAAAGACGAGCTTCTCAAAGATCAAACCTTGCCCCGACGAGGTTTCGTGTCTGCTCTTCCCTGCCTGGTAATGAAGACAGATTCAAAGTTGAGTACACACCTTGGCTTATTGTCGGGCTGGGAAACCCGGGAAACAAGTTTCACGGGACAAGGCACAATGTACGAAACAATCGCCCTTTATTACTAAATTCAGGTTTTGCTAGTTCAACATGTTGGGTTTTATATCAGCAATGCTTGAAGTTTGCTGCTTTCAGGTTGGTTTCGAGATGATTGATCAGTTGGCCCGAAGAGAAGGCATTTTGATGAACACAATACAATCAAAAGCATTGATCGGAATAGGTTTTAGTCACCTTGCTTTGCTTGTTTCTATTTTGTTTCTCTCTCCTTTGTGGTATGGCTGATGAGTTGTTCTTATTCTCTGTGTGATCAGTACAGGTGCTATTGAAGAGGTACCGGTCTTGTTGGCTAAACCCCAAACTTATATGAACTTCAGCGGTGAATCGGTTGGTTTTCTGATCTTCATTTTCTGTAGCTTAATGGCATCAGCTACACAGTCGTTCCTGACCCTTTTCCCCTTGCTTGATATCCCAAGGTTGGATCTCTCGCTGCACACTATCAAGTGCCTTTGAGACACATTTTGCTGGTAAACCACACCTTGTGCCTCACTGCAGCCTTGTAAGACCAAACTTGTTTTGACGAACCTTGGTGAATATTGACATTGATTTTTGTGCAATTCTGCTATCTAGATTTATGACGAGATGAGTTTGCCCAATGGAGTTCTGAAACTCATACCAAAAGGAGGTTACGGCCATCATAACGGGTATGTATGATTTGGACAAAGATCAGGAAAAAAGATCAATGAATGTTGATGCCTTGAATCTGCGGAAAAGAGAAGTAACTACCTAATTTGTTGGAAAGCTTGTGGCTTTTTCAAGTTCAACCTACAGCCATGTCTTTGCACACCTAAAGTTGTAAATTTTGAAAAATTTAATGGTATCATCCCTTGGTGTTGCAGACTGAAGAGTGTAATCGGGAATTTGAATGGTCGGAGACATTTTCCTCGACTGTGCATAGGTGCCGTTGGTTCAAACCATCCACTCTGCTTTAGATTTATCTTTCTTCTCTCTTTTTTGGGTCTTCATATGTGATGCATGGAGCTGAAAAGTCTCAAGATTTTTTGTCATTTCCCAGGCATCGGGAAACCGCCTGGAATGATGGATTTGAAGGCGTTTCTTCTTCAGAAGTTCAGCCCGGTCGAACGGAAACAGGTGAGAGCATGCTTTTGGATTGATTGGTTCCAGACTTGAAAGGAATTTCTGCTGTTCCGAACAGAATTTCTTTGAATTTCTCAACAGATGGATGAAGGGCTCGAACAAGGAGCCGAGGCTGTGAAGACCCTTGTGCTCAACGGATTCAATGAAGGCATCTCGAGATTTAATTTGGTGCAGAAGTACAAATTCCACAGAGTATGAGATGATAGCTACGTTGTACAAAGATTGTTTGAGATTTGGTTGGGGATTTCTGTATTGAAAGAGTACGGAACAGAACCCAAGAAGCTTCCTTTTCATTTTTGTAACTCATCTGCTTCAGTGTCAGAAAGGAGGATACCCAAAGATGGCCGACAAAGTCATCAGGCAAAACCACAGAAGTTGCTCCATTTTTCAAATGAACATTTCATCAATGTCAGTAGTTAATTGTCGATTAGGGCATACAAGTTTGACACCAATCTAAAGGAGAAGACACAAAGAAGCCTAACTCGTGTTGATACGAATACTTAGAACTGCGAAATCTGAAGCACTGAAACAAGGACTAGTTCAAGAAAATTCCCTCCACCCTGCCTAAAGCCACCAAACCAGAAATCAGAAGCTACCTATCCCACAAAAAAAGAACAAAACAAAATTCATCTCCTCAGGCTTCAACAACTGGGTATTCGAACACGACATCCTTCCCTGTAAGTTTCCGGTAGACGCCCATCATTGTCTCGAGCTTGTACTCGGTGTTGTTCCTCTCTTTCGTGTCCAAAAAGACCTGATGTTTTTTTAGCAGTGTAAATGTAAGAGACGATGTCAGCAGTTAATTGTTGATTACGACATTCTTGTCTAGCCGGTCCCAAGCCCAGATAAAAGAGGAGGTTTTGTGGTAGGTTGGCAACCAACAAAACTAAAACCAATGCCATATCTTACATGCAATGAATTCTAATGATGTTGAGTGCAACATGTAAGAGGGTTAAAAAGAGGTCAAGAAACGAGCAAACAAGACCACTATACCTTCTGAATCTTGGAGCCATCGAGACGGAATCTGATGCGCTTCCCGACAATCTCGGCAGGAAACACAACATCCTCGAGCGTGGCTTCATGGACAGCGGTCAGAGTTCTGGTGCGTGGCCTTTGAACAGCAGATCCCTTCTTCGGAGGTCTCAAGATCCTTCTGGTGGCAACCACTATAACATCCTGTGTGACTTTCATATGTTAATTTCAAAACTTTTTAACTACCGAATTCAAAACATAAGACAAACATAAAGACCAATGCAGACTATGATACATGTCAACATATAAAACCATCTTCTAACAAGGTTCATGTCTAGCAGCTGGAATGGCAATATGTCGAAGCAAAGCCAGAAGAAGAAAATTAAATTACCTTGCCACTGAACTTCTTCTCCAGCTCCCTAACAAGGCGGAGATGAATCTTACGGAAAGCCTTCCTCAATCTGTACGGAACGTAAATCACAACAGCCTTGCGGTTTCCTGAGATATCCATTTGACTGCATAGAAAAGAAATTACATTTCTCATGATGAGTAAACAAGGACAAAACCAGAGAACCAATTATGCCCACGAGAACCAATCTGTACTGCATACACTGCTTGGTTAATGTACAGATCTTTCAAGTCACTTTTCAATTCCTGGTTTGTATTCTCCACATCAAACAGAGCCTGAGAAAGACATTAGCAGGCATCAATCAGTAGCCATAATTCTTAAATTTACACAGTTGGGAGGATAAGAAGACAGAAAACATAACTGAATACCTGAGCAACTTGCTCCTCGAACTCAGTAGCTTCCACATCCTTGTCCTTGCGGATCTTGTTCTGTGCAGAAAACATATTTGCAGATCTACAAGCAAAAAAGATTAAAACAAGGATAAGTAACCAACAACCATTTTCATGAAAGTGACAAGCTTCAATGGATAAAGAACGCAAACTAGAAGCAGATATTGTTCTTACCATAATAATAAAAAATTTCTGACTTTTGCACCACATTCTTTCATACATGCAAGTATAACGCGGAAACATAACGTGCTTATCGTTCCGAAAAAAGTTCCAAGACATTTTCCCGAGAAAGCCACCATTTTTTTGATGGTGAGAAGGACCTTAACCAAGCACACTGTCCTAACCCTAAATCGCTGAATAAGATCAAGCACAAAAGCTGATTTTTCCCTCAATCTTTCCTCCAAATTCTCATAGATAAAGAAAAATCATCATTGTCCCCAAACGAATGGAACAAAGCCTTCACCGAAATCTAAAGCGGAACACAAAACATGGGTAAAACAGAATCAAGCTCTTAGAAGCGTACCGAACAGAGAAAAACCAGGGGCGAAATCCGCGCAGACAACGAAGAACCCTACACGGGGAAACTGCTCGGGGTTTAAAGAGGATGCACAAGCACAAGTTTTACATATAGGGTTTGCCATTCTGCTGCTGGTAATACCAAACTGGGCCTTATAATGGGCCCATAAATATCTATTCCAGGCCCATTAAAGCCCAATAACTATTAGAAAGAAACCGGCAGCGTAAGCTTTCTGTAGAATTGAGAAACAGAGTTGAAATGGATCAGTGGATCCCCACATTCTTAGTTATGGACGAGTAAGAAAACAAAGAAGAATGAAAAAAAAATGTAACAATGGAAGAAGTCTATGGATTTCTCAGATGGGTGGAGGAACGATGATGGAGCCAAGCGAGAATGTCGGACAGGACACGGAGGATCATGTCGTCAGGCTCGCCTTCGAGGAGAGAATGGAAAGCATCCTTGTACAGAATGATCCTTTTGTCCCGACTGCTCGCTTTCTCGTACAGTGCTCTGCTCACTGATGGGTCTGTCACCGTATCTGCCTCTCCATGTAGAACCAAAATCGGCAGAGACACCTGTTTGAACACAAGCAAACTCTCTTATGCTTTCTCCTTCTCACAGAGTTCAACCATGAAACCTCTTCAAGAACAATCGCCAGAAGAAAATCCAGTATTTTCATTCAGGTTAGGCTTCAGGATCTGGAATCTATCTACCCTTCATACCCGGAATTTCGAGAGGGAAACCAAGAACAGGATTGTAAAAGCCTAATGGGTTTGGCTCGGTTGCAGTTCAGGAGGAGCTTTGTCTTAGGTTTCAGTTCTAGTTCCTGGGTGTTATGAAATCTGGAACTTAGCCTTATCATGTAAGAAAAGTTTTTTACCTTTTCCAAATCTTGTTCAATCTCTTGAGTGGTATGGAGCAACTCCAATGCTGTCCTAAGCCGCGGCTTATCCTTGTAACAGATGACATTGTACGGCGTCTGCAAGCAAACGGCGTTAGAACTGAGCACGAGAGGCAAATGTATGCATTTCTCAAAAACAAAAAATGGTCCACGGGATTTACCAGCCTCCTCTTTCTTGTGTCCCGGAAGGCAGCTTCTGCTAAGTCTTTTTGCGGAACCAACTTCTGTTTGGGTAAAACATTGGCCAGACCGATCAAGATCTGCTTTAACAGCCGGGGTGGAACCATGTCATCTGCAATCTGAATGTCTATTTCCTGTTACGATAGCAACAGAAAAGCTCCGAGGTTGTCACAATGGAAAGGAGGACTATACTTTGCACATAGGAGCCACTAAAACGGCACCACTCCACGAGTTTGGTTGTTTGAAATGTATTTTCAGAGCGACGGCTCCACCCATCGACTGTCCGAAGAGAAAGCTCGGAAGAGAACTGAACTCGGGTTCCCCTAACAGCGAAAAAAAAAAACACACAAATCCAATACCAAGGTTTAAAGCTTTAATATATCAGAACCGTAGGGATGGACGTTACAGAAACAATTCAGCAATTCAATCCAATACAAGGGCAAGAGCTAGAACTTCGAATCACCTTTTACAATGGAGTAATGCTCGGTGACATCTTCGACGAGGACATCAAAGCTCGGGATATATCCGTGCAAACCTTCTGAAAGGCCAAATCCCGGGTAATCCATTGCGAAAACTGCATATCCCGACAAAGCCAATTTCCTTGCAATCCCTGCAGAGAAGTTTCCGACACGAAAACAAGCAATGAATCTTCATAAACCATGTCAAAAACCTCAAGTAAAAAAAGGATGAACAGTTACATGCCTTCGAAGAAAAAGGTGCAGGTGTCTCCATAGCCATGGCAGAAACAGACGAGTGCCCTCAGAGGAGAAGATTCTGGAATCCAGCTCTTGGAGAAGATTTCGACTCCTCGGGAATTCACCTGAAAAGACTATTACAGTATACACCACAAAACCCTTAAGAGCCGATTCTTCCAAAACTCTTGGAACTTACAGCATGATCTCTCTGTTACCTCCTTTGTCTTAATTCCATCTGCAGATGCCTGCAGCATCAGAGCCAAAAGCTTATCAAACGACCATACACAATCCATCCAGACATATACATACACAGATATATACGCATCAGCAATAGCTAAATCGTTTCACTTTTCTATTTGCCTAATTCGTTCTTCGCTTAAACGAACCCATTTGAAATCATGACATCAACCGAAAGATGAATCTGTCTTATCCACTACGACCGCCGAAATCGATGGATTTGGTCCCGTGATCGGAAGTACCTTGAAGAGGATGTGGTCCAGGCTTAGCTGGGTATCCTTCATGGCCTCGCGTGCGAGCCGCCGCGCCGCCGCGTCATCCATGTCGGCCTCCAGAAGCCGCCGGAGTTCGTCGTTGTCTGCGCCGCCAGCGCCGGGAAGCTTCACCGCCGGCGCCATCGCTCTCCGCCGCAGCAGCACAGATCTCTCTCTATCCAGAGACCCTGAAATACCCTTCGTGAAGACGAATCAACCTGTTGGAGCTTGTCTTCAGCAAAAGCCTCCAGACGAAGCGGAGGGTTTGAAAGCCTCGGATTCTCTCAGAGGCTTACGGAGGGTATTTCGGTCTTTGTGTAAGGGCGGATTAATGTGCCCTAGGGTTTGTGTTTTTTGGCTCAGACGGTGTTTTTCGTTTTCTGGAACTTTCTCTTCTCTCTCTCTCTCGACGAATCTGCGATTCGTGTTCTCCGGTGCCGGTGGTCGGTATCCGGTGGTCTCTCTCCGTTTGTAACCCTAGTAGACTGCTGATCCTCTTCCCGAGACGTAGGCACCGAGTTCTCTCGGTGCTGAACTCGTTATTCCGCTGTGTCGTTCTCTCTCGTTCTTGAGCGTCGGAGTGGTTACGGTGAGGTGTTCGTCGGGCAAATACTCTACAAGTGGTATCAAGAGCCTGGTTGAGGCGAGTTCTGGTGGTTTCATCGGCGATTCGAAGCCGAGGTAAGATCTGCTACGTTTTTTTTTCTGGATCTGAACTTTCTGATCGGTGTGCGAGGTGTTTCAGGCGTCTGAAACTAAGTCGAAAGAACCATCCCGTGTGAGATCGGCGGTCTGCACCGGTGGGAGAAGCTCAGATCGGCGGCGAAGAAAGGTAGGTTTTCCGGATCTGTCTCGGACTGAGTTACTCAGTCGAGTACAGAGTCCAAGGAGGTGAGTTCGCTCAATTTGGTTAGATCTAGGGTTCTGGGGGGGAGAAACCGGTGAAAACCGGTGGTTTCCGGAGAGTCTTGGCCGTGACTCGTTCGAGTCACGACTGAGTTGTCTTCGGGGTTGAGTCAACTACCGTGTTGACTCGGGTTAACTCGGCGGCTTCCGCGTTCCGAATTAGGGTTTTCGGATCTGATCCGGTTTAGCCGGTTCAACCGAAATTCCGATCCGGTTTTCCTAACCCGGTCAACTGTTGACCAGAAATTGGTCAACGTTTGACCTAACCCGACTAAACCGGTTCGATTTTGAATCGAGCCCGGTCCAATTAGACAATTCCGATTTAACCGGCTAAACCGGATTAAACCAGAAACCCTAATTTTCGGAACGCGGAAGCCGCCGAGTTAACCCGAGCCAACTCGGACGTTGACTCAACCCCGAAGACGACTCAGTCGCGACTCGAACGAGTCACGGCCAAGACTCACCGGGAACCACCGGTTTTCACCGGTTTTCGATACAGACCCTAAACCAGACAAACCCAGCCCTAATCAGACAAATCAGACCTAATCAGACCTAAAACCGGCCCAATCCCGATCTAAATTGACCTAAACCGGACTCTATTGTCCTAAACCGGTCCTAGATTGACCTAAACCGGTCTGGGTTATCCCGAACCGGACCTAAATTG